CCGTCCGCCCTCCCTCCCTGACCGCCTGCCCAGCCCTGGCAGGTTCCCGCAAGTGAGCCCTACTGCTGTGGTTGTGAAGTCAGCAGGGGAATGAGAAACGAAAACAGAAAAGGCAAGATTAAGTGTAGCTAGATGCCCACCTTCGGGGGTGGGATAGGTTGTTAGGGAAGCTTTGCTTCAGTTTTGAGTCAGGTATTGAATAGCACTGGCATGGGGTCCTCAGAGCAATGTTTCCTGAGAACTACTTTTAATTGTGGAGCTGAAGAATCAGCGCCTCTTCGGGCTCCCTGATACGTCTGCCTCAAATTTATTCCTAGCCCGCCCATCTCATCCTCCCTTTCCTACTTTATCTATCCAATAAACTTACACTGAATGAATGGTTATCGTAAGCTCTATGTGATGTGGGGAAATACACCCTCCAAGGGGGGGGGAATATATATATATATATATTCGGAAAAGATAGGAAATGCTAAGAGACCCCCCAGAAAAACTGGGGTCGCTTGCTTTTGGGAGGAGATTCGGGAAAGGCTTGACGGAGGTGGCATTTGTGTTGGCCCTTCAAAATACTCATTCGCCTTGGACTCCATGGACCCACTGCGTTTCCATCCTCCCAATTTTGTCTGCAGTTCCCAGGGAGGTGTTCCTCTCCCTTTGACAGGTTAATGCTTCTATGTTCCTGTATCCAGGATCCCTTCCACTTTTGTATCTCAAGAAACTCCACCCGTGTGCATTCTCTCCTTAACATTAGTTTTTCCACTTATTCTCATATTCATGGAGCATCTACTATGTACCACACACAGATACCAAGAAGAGTCTTTTTGGGAAGGTTACTCATACTTGCAAGAGAAATTGTCAAGTAACTCAAGCTACTATTGATACAAGTACAGAAAGTGTTCATGAACTAAATGGCATATGAATAGAGCTTTCAAATATCGGTAAAGTTTTTGTTACTTGTTTTTTGTCTTTTTGAGACAGAGTTTCAATAGGCAGTTCAGGCTGGCTTTGAACTTACTTTGTAACCCTGATAAAATTTTCGCTGGGCTTTCTGGCACATGTCTGTAACCCCAGTGCTCAGGAGGCTGAAGCAGGAGAATTATGAGTTCAGACCAGCCTGGGCTACATAGTGAGTTCAAAAGCAACCTGAGGGCTGGAGAGATGGCGCAGTGGTCTAAAGCACCTACTTGAAACAAGCCTGGCAAAGCACAGGGACCGCAGTTCGATCCCCAGCACCACATGCCAGCCAGCCCCGCCCCCTGGTGGGCTGAGCTGGCCACACACACACACAATAAATAAATGTAATAAATAAAAATAAATATTTAAAAAAAAAAACAAAAGCAACCTGAACTATGTAGCAAGACCCTGCCTCAAAAAGCAAAAACAATCCCCCCAAAAGAATAAAGTTTAATAGTGCTGCATAACATACTAATCAGGGACTGGGGAGATGGCTCAGTGGAATAAGTGCTTCCCTGGCAAGTGCAAAGGCCTGAGTTCAGCCCCTGGTTCCGAAAAAAAAAAAAAAATACATACTAATCACGCTATGTTTCTTGTATTGACCTGATAGAAAAGAAAAGGAGGTTGGGGTTGAAGCAACATGTTAAGTAAAGGCAAACAGGGAAGAGGAGTTCAACTCTCCTGTAGCTAGGGTTTTTTTGGTGGGGGGGCAGAACCAGGGATTGAACTCAGGCCCTTGCACTTGCCAGGCAAGTGCTTATTCCACTGAGCCATCTCCCTGGCCCCCCTGTGACTAGGTTTAAAGGGCTTCTGGGAAATAATAATATTAGAAATATAGAGCAAAATCACAGGGAACCTTAAATGTCATGCTTAGTGTTTTATTTGTAGGTTTTTTCCTATAGCTAGTTTGAAGCTATCAGAGGTTGGATAGAAACAAATTTCTTAGGCAGTTTTAGGAATATATAAGGAATTTCCTTTTGATTTGCAGAGCATCCCTGTGCAGTGGGGAAGGCAGATCCTACCCTAATCATGAAGGCCTTGGCTGTTCAGAGCCGGTATGTCGGTCTATATCATGCTTCTGCCTCTTCAGTTCCTTGTGCGATTTATTTAGTGCAGGTTCCATCGTTATTCAGGATGCTGCATCAACCTTCATGGCCCATGGCTCCTATGCTTTGTTAATGATAAAACTAATGGCAAAGGTGGGAACCACCTGAGAAAACAGGAAGAGAAGAGGTGACAGGTATGACGTGCCCAAAAACAGAAAAGCAAACCATACATGCTGTCAGGGTAAGCTAGGCCTATGCGTGGAACATGCTGTCACGCATGGCAAAGATTACATCAGTGTTAACTTTTTCAATTTTTATTATATTTCCCATAGAAATTATTTGTACTCTTGTTTAGATTTTGTAAGCAGGCCAAGGGATGATGTTGAAAATTATGTTTCTTGACAAGAGTATATTAAAATGTAATCTTATGTTAAAAAAAAACTAATGGCAAAATTTTGCCTAGAGTATGTGGGAAAACATGAAAAAAAAATGTACCACTCAGAATTTTGTAGCATAATTGTGCAGCAATATATCATCCTACCTACCATGTCTTCTTCCCTTGCTCTGTGTGTGTGTTTGTGTGTGTCTGTCTGTGTGTGTATTACTGGGGTACTGTAGCCTTCACACTGAACTGCATCTTCAGCCCATTTTTATTTTATTTATTTATTTATTTATTTATTTATTTATTTGAGACAGTCTCACTCAGTTACTAAGCTGCCCAGGACAGGTGTAACCTTTTGATACTCCTGCCTCCTCTCAGAGTACTGGAATTATAGGTGTACACCACCATGTTGGGCTTTCTCTTGAAGTGTTTAGCCCTTAATCACTGTACTCCTGGAATCTGATCTTTTTCAGTGCTGGCTGTATCCTTGACCTCTACACATTGGAAATGGTTGGAGCAAAGAGAGAAGTCCCATTCATGCAGGGAATAGCTGGCCCTCACCTGTCACACCTTAAGGCCAACTCAATAGCTCATGAGGTCATTGTTGATCAAAGTTAAAAAGGGACATTTATCATAAAAGTTAGTTGGCATTATGGAGTAATAATCTCAAATGGAAGCAGTACACAAGGAAGTAGTGCTTTTGTAGGTGCACATGGTATAAACCGCTAGGGGATTGGAGTGGCCACCCTAGACCAGCTAGAGGGAGGAAGCTCCATCTGGATGAAAAATGCTGCTAGTCCCACTCCTATGTAGGGCAGAGGCAACACTGTGGTCATTACTCAGACTGGCAAGACCATGATATTGACCCAGACAGATGGCTCAATGCTTAGGGTTCGTGGGAGACCAACAGCAGTTCAGAATCCTGAGTTTCTATGTTCAATATAAATGGGAATCTCACAAATGTATCAAGTTATTACCATTTATTAAAATGTGCCATACCATAAAAGAAACTGTTATAGCCAGCAGAAGTAATCTATTTTCCAGGCTGCCCTAGACAACCCCATAAGGCATGAGTCCTGAAGCTCTTCAGAGCCTCTGGCCTACTCTGTGGTTGGAGTGGCATGTCAGAGAGAGTACCCTAAAGAGAAATAGACTGGGATGACCAAAGCCACTGAAGAGAGATTTACAAAATTTCAAGAATAACTTTCCAGAGAACCGGCCAAATAGCTCAACAAATTAAAGTGCCTGCAAGCAGGCGCAGGGGCCAAGGTTCAAGACGTGGCATAGTGGTGCATGTCTATAATCCCAGCACTTGGGAGGCTGTAAGCAGGCAGATCACTATAAGTCCATTCTAGTAGTGAGACTCTGAACACCCTGTATACCCTTCCCCAAAAAAAGAAAAGAAAAGAAAAGAAAAAAAAAAAGAATAACTTTCCAAAGTGTGGCACCCTGAGGACCTGGCCTGACAACTGGGCCGGCACCTTGTTTTCCAAGGACTCAAAGACCTTTTGTAGAAGAATAATCCTTCATGTTCTTTGCTACTGCTCCTGTCTGAGTAGTGGAGTCTAGTTCACTTCCTTTGGAAGGTTTGCTGTCCAACTGTAGTCAGGTGTCTATTGCTGCATAGCAGACTACATACTTTAAAATCAGAGGCTTTAAAATTATCCATTTACTATATTTCTTGCTTTCATGGTACAGGAACTTAGCCAGAAACTCAGTTGAGCAGTTCTGCTTCATGTAGGTTTAGGGTTCCAAGAAGCCCAAGAACCTAGGTCCTAAGAACACTGCAGCCTCTGTCCAGCCTTGTGTAGCACTTAGTTCGAGCCATGAGCCACCATGGAAGAATTCCATTTACCTTGAGGCCATCATGTTAGAAAGTTCTTGTTCAGGGACTCAGCTCAACATTTCTGGCTAAGCCCAGTTTCCCAGCCATTCCCACCAGGTGACAAGACATTCACCTTGTACCTTCTGTGATTGTCTGCCTGCTAGCCAAACCCTACCACATGGCCTCTTTACACTCCATGTGAAATGGAAGAATGGACAACTCAGTTTCTGCATT